ATTATTTGGCAAAAAACTCTCATCAAAACGAAAAAGGAGACATTATTAGGGCATAGAACAAATAGAGCGGGCGGGCAACGCGGTTTGCTTGTGGTATGGTAGTTTCTATTACTACAACATGCTAATTTCTAAGTATTGCAGGCAAAACCACTCAAATTCGTGGCAACGTTTAGGTTTGAATGAATACAGAGTCATATTCCCTGCAAACGATAGGGCGTGTGACGTGTGGGTGTACTGGAGCGCTCAGGGCGGCCGCCCAATCGACAAAACCGCAATAATTGGACGGAAGGGCTGTTCTGGCTGCGATATAACTCGCGCCTCCGTTACACGCCCTACAATGCATTCATAACTATAGCAAGCGCCACAACAAATACAATATAAATAAATCAACTTACGTGATATGCCAAAATTTGCCTATTTTCCCTCTGCAACTCTTCCAATAGGACCGTTCTTCGAGATCCATTGATGGTAAAAGCATTCACTGTATTCATAATGTTCTGATACTCTCGCATACAAGCCATCTTTTCATTTACAGTATTCACCCGTCGAATCATTTCGTCAACACGCCTATCTCCTACAAAAATTGGGATAAACAAGGCACTGTTATTCAAAAGGGGAACCTTATTTCCGCAACTAACCGCTTCCTATTTGAAACATCAGCTCCCTTGTATCACGAACGATACATTCGATCTCAGCATTTCGCCATAATGCTAAAAATTACACTGAAATAATAATAACTAATTTGCAGTGTTAGCACTTTAGATCGTTGTGTGAAGATCGGTTTGAGAAAAATAGCTTTTGACTTCAATCGTTTTCCACAGCAACAAATCATGAACAAGAAATGAACGGTTGACATTAGCAAAGGTTGGGGTGAGCTTTGAGCCCCGTTTTGCACACGACACACCGTCTCGTGATAACAGCGCCGTAGCGAATAGCGCGATAACTGACGGTGTTCAACAAAGAGGCATCAAAATAATCGACGGTAAGTGCGGGCAGGGCCCATCCCCGGTTGGGGATTTTTGTCGGCCCTAAACGGCCCCACCCCCCAGCTCCTTCCTCA